ACAAACTCACCAACTATTCTTGGACTGACTAGCATCAGTACAATGACTGTTAAAATGCAGCCACCTCTGTTAAGCCTTGTTAACATGATGTCTGACACAGAGTGAATTACTTTAAAAGTGAACTGATAAACTCGATGTGTCGATTGTTTTCACTCTTACAAAACAACTGTTTTGCTTGGGAGTTCTTGGAAATAGAAGACAAATAACGTACTTTTGCTGGGATAAAGGTCAGAAAACGATACAGAAAGGGGTGGGTGGTGATATAGAATTAAAGCTGTTACTTTTCCTTTTGCAGTATTTATACTTTATTTCGTGGTAAAATATTATAGTAATTATGTTAAGGAAGAAAGGCGYTGAAATAAGAGACACGAAAACGTCCAACTTGTGGCGCAACATTGTTGCTGTGCAAGTTCGAAAACAATGTTGCTCGTATTACACCCTATCTATCCAACTTGTCACGCAACAAAATCTAATGTTGCAAGTTGGGAAAACTTGTTGCGAAAAGTAGAACGTAGATCAACTTCATGCAGYAAATTTGCAATTTGTTGCTCGTTTTCATCACTCGTCCAACTTGTCASGCAACAYTTTATGTGCAGAAGCGGCCGCCATCTTGAATTATGTAGCTTGTAGCCACATTAGCGTCCAGAATATCACCGTGATAGTCCCAACTTGTAATATTAGATTTTAATGCGTGACAAGTTGGATAGAGAGATTTATCCGTTTCTGCAGTCGCCACATGTGAATTGAGTGTGATTGATGTGTTGTTCTCCCCCATGCTACGAGGGTTTTCTCCGGATTTTCCGGTTTCTTCCCTCTGTAAAAATCAACATGTKAGTTGAGCGTTGTGTGCATAGGAATTGAATGTAGTGGTAAAGCGTGTGAGCATGATATACACCAAGTTTCATTTCTGAAAAAGATGTAGACGTAAGTAAAAAAAAAAAAAAAGAAAAAAAAAAGAAAAATTCAGTTTCGGTGTTCGAATTCACTTTCATACCGCAGGCATATGACAAACATATAAATACATAAATAGTCGTAATATAATACTCCATTTTTGAGCTCTCTGTTGCTCAGGGACAACCACGATGTTGTGTATTCTAGGTG